TTATGCTGAGTGAAATAAGTCAACCACAGAAGGACAAATATTGTATTAGTCCAATATTGTAAAAAGTCAAGGAAAAGTTTATATATAGAAGGAAATTTTCTTTGTTGGTTACCAGGGGTGGGAGGAAAGTGGTGGGAACACTGTTAGATAGGTAGAGACAAGTACTGATTTGGGTAAAGAGAAGGGCAACATACCAAATGTGAGTGATAAACTCAGTGGCACTGAGGAAGAAGACAGAGAGATGCATGGGAGGTATAGACAACAGAGATGAACCCTTCTGCACATACAGTACTGTGTTGTAAGTGAAGGCAAACATGGATATATGGGTGGATAGATGGGTGGACAGGCTGAAATATTACATATGTCTATGCAAGACCATGTATAGGGTTGGCAGACAATGTTTCTACAAGTGTATTTGGATGTTCTCTAGGTATTCCCAGGTATATAGCAGAGGTGACAAGGGGCAAGGCCGTAGTCACTTCTTGGCCACAGCCAGCTACCCAGAGGGAGTGAGTAGTTGGACCAGTGGACTCAGGATCATAGTCTCAGGGGACATCAGGCTCAAATGGCATAACATATTACACAAAACATTGTTCCACATCCTACTTTGGCGAGTAGCAGCTAGGATCTTAAAAACTTGCAAGAGGCCATCTAGATGCAACGATGGGTCTCTCTTCATCCAGAGCAAAGAAGAATGAAGAAAATCAAAGATTCATAGAAACAATTAGTCCAAGCAACTGGTACACCATGCGATCCTCAGCCTATACAACTATGAGACCAGAAGAACTCGATGGTGCCTGGCCACCACTGTCAGCCATTCGGAGAGGGATCTCTGTAGAAGATCCTGGATGGAGTGGGAGAATAATGTGGAACAAAACTCAAAATCATTAAAAAAAAAAAAGGGGGACCAGGTTTGCTGGCCTGATAGAGCCAGATGGAACCAATGAGACTATGTATGGCCCCTAGCTACCCTGCAGGTCTGGAATTGAACCCACTCCTGTGGCTTCCAGCCAAACAAAAGACAGGCATATGAGGTGAACATTTACATTAGGTAGTACACTCCCTGGAAACAGCAATCATGGGAGAATAGAACAGCTATTCATGCACAGGGAGACAGCTCCAGGGCAGGAGTACATGGAGCGAAGGACACAGGGAAGAGGTAACTATGAGGAGGAAGTGGGTGGGGAGCTATTGTATTGTGGTAAATTGTAGTCAATGTCATGAGACAAAATGTATGTGAGCTGCTGTACGGAAAGTGAATTTTCTCTGTAAACTTTCACTCAAATCACAATTTTTTTTTTTAAATCACAAAAAAAAAGGATTTAAAAAAACCAAGAACAGAAAAGGCCTATGATCCAGCAATCTCACTACTAGGTATATATTCTACAGAAATAAGGGCCATTACATGAACAGATATATATGTATACCCATATTCATTGCAGCACTATTCACAATAGCAAAAAGATGGAAACATCAATGGAGGAATGGACCAACAAACTATGGTACATACACACAATGGAATACTACACAATGTTAAGAACAATGATGAATCTGCAAAACATCTCATAACACAGATGAACCTAGAGGAGGACATTATCCTGAGTGAAATTAGTAGATCACAAAAAGACAAATATTGTACAGCATCACTATTGTAAAAAGCCAAGAAATGGGTTCCACACAAAAAAGAAATATTCTTTGATGGATACCAGGGGTGGTAACCCACTAGCTAGACATATTAACTTGGGTAAAGGGGAAGACAAAACAAAAGAAAATAAGAACAACCATCTTCAGGTAATTATTGCAAACCTGTTTACTCTTAATCTAATTGCAGTAACTCGTATTTATTTCAGGTTTAAACACACTTCTGAATGGAGACCAAATGACTACACTGTTGCACACAGGTGACTCTCAAAAGCTAAAGATTCAAAGTGTCTTGGGAAAGAGGAGATGGAAGGAGCATCTGGCTTAAACTAATCATAGAGAAACATTTTCTTCTACTCTAAAACACATTTCCCTGGGGCTGATTGTAAGGAGAACTTCTAGGTGGTGTAAACAGTCAATGTGTTTGAGTATTAACTGAATAATTGGGAATTTGAGTTCACCCAGAGGTGCCTTGAGAATCTACTTCTGAAAAATCAGCAATAGAAAACTCACTGAATTGTACATGTGGAAATTGTTGAGATGGTATAAATTTTGTTATGTATACTTTCACCACAATAAAAAAAAGGGGGGGAGGAAAAATTAGAAGGAAAAAAAAATGAAAAAGAGGGAAACCCCGTAAGATTTGGAAGAACACAAAATTCTGAAGTCTAGGGTTTCAAGAATTGGAGCAGGAATCTAACCCACTCCCTCACAATCTCCCAGAGAGATCACAAGATTTGAAGAGGTATAGCTTATCCATAAGATAAATGCAAAGAGGCTGAGCCTTAGCTCCAGGAATCCTGGCCTCAGCAAAGACTGCCATGTTGAAATACGGTGCAGGAACAGCAGAGTCATCTGTCTCCAAGAGACTATCTGAACTTGTACAATCAGCATATAACCAGTGACCAGTGTAGACTGAAGACCTAGAGAAGCCTTCTAGAATATCCCACTACTTACAACATGCCTCAAGGAGCTCTGGTGGCACAGTGCCCAAGGCATTTGACTGCTAACCATCAGGTGGGCGGTTCAAACCCACCAGCTACTTCATGGAAGGAAGATGGGGCAATCTACTTCCATAAAGATTTACACCTCAGAAACCCAATGGGGGTCATTGTGAGTCAGAATCAACTCAATGGCAGTGGGTTTACATGACTCCTCAAGACCTTTTGTAATATGGTTTGGAGGAGGCGGTGGAGAGACTGGCCTCAATCTAATAATAGATACAGACTTTACCACAAAGGAGATTTGGAATCTGATTTAAATTTTAACTTGAAGAATAAAGAAATGTGGCATCTCTTCATGCTTCATCATACCTAGTGCACCTATGCTTTGTAATGGCAGAAATAATGACAGATCAAATTTTTTCAAAAGTTAAAACAGTAAATAAAAGATGTTAAAATTCACATTTGTATCTGCATCTGAATTATAACTTTAATCAATTCCATACAGTGAATGAAAAATTTGAGCAGTTCTGTACTTGACTATATTTAAAATGAAAATAGGTTTTACAACATGTGATATACTATCACTAATTTACAAAGTTGATGTATTGATTCAAGATTTACCACTCTGCATCACCAATAGCTTTTGCAAATACATAGTCTTTGCCTCCAAAACACATAACACCATCTTTCAAATAGAATTTCCATTTGTTCTTGTTTCGATGAATCTGGAAGGAGAAAAATAGTTTAAATTAATTAATTTTGTAAGTGAAAGGATCATCTACATTCTTTGCTATATCACATGGGATTATTCTGACCCTAAGTGTGAGTTCTTTAAAGGCTAAGATCACCTCGAGATTATTTATTCATTCACTCAACAAATATTTGAGTTCTGTGTATCTGACTCTTAGTTTAAATATATATATTTACACATGCACACAAATATAAATAGACAAAATTCATGCCTCTGAAGAGTTTACATTTTAGTAAGGAGGAAAGAGACAAAAAATAATAAATAAGTAAATGATATAAAATATTAAAAGATGGTAAGTGCTATTTTTAAAAGTAGAGCAGGAAAAGGAGTATCATAAATAGAAAGGCGGAGTTGCAATTTTCAATAGGATGGTCAGGGTGGGCCTGACTTAATGAGGTGGCATTTGAGCAAAGATTTAAAGTATGTGAGTGATAAAGACAGGCAGATGTTGACTCCAGAGCATTCCAGGGAAAGGATACAGAAGTGCAAAAGTCATGAGGAGGAGCATGCCTAGACTGTTCAAGACCAGCAAGGATTCAGTACGTCTGCAAAGGGACACACAGGGAGGATGCAGTTAATATTATCAGGAATGGGAAAAGCAGTGATTCATTATAAAGAAGGTCACAATAAAGCACTGAGCAAGGCCAGAAGATCCAGTTTATAATCTGTTAGTTTCTGCTGGTTGTTCTTCGCATTCCATAGATCAGCCTGGACAGACAAAATAAAACATAAGAAATCCTACCCACCAGCCACTCCTCGGAAGGAAGGTTGGGCAATCCTACTTCCGTAGTGATACTGCCTCGGAAACCCAAGGAGGGGTCGCTATGAGTCGGGGCCGACTCGACGGCACATAACAACAACAACAACAACAACCCACCTTGCGAGGTAAGAAACTATGAAATCATTGCTACCTCTGGGTAAACCACAAGTGACTATTTAAAAGCTTAGAAATATATGATTTAATATCAAGGCAAGGGGAAAAATTAAACCTAGTTGTTGACTATAAATAGTCAAATGCAGGAAGAGAAACCTGTGACTGGTATTTGGGTTCATTTTGTGAAGCATAAGAAAAAGCAAAGAATAAATCCCTATTTCTGTGGGGTTTTTTTTTTTTTTTTTTTTTAAGTGTTAATAATGAAAAATGTTTGACTCCCAAATTTTCACTTGCAGAAGTCCAGAAAAGTCCCTGGAATGCAACAGTGACAACAAAATCCTGTACTCAGCACAAATGATAAAATCTGACCTGCATTAGGAGAAATTAGGACAACATGCTGATAACTTTATCACATGGCTGCATTTATTCTAGAAATGCAACCATGGTTCCATATTCAAAATTTACTATAAAAAACATATAACCAGACCTAAAGAGCCAAATCATATGATCATCTGCAGGGATACTGAAAAAGCATGTGACAAAATCTCATGCATTTTAGATATTTTTATAAACTCAAAGTAAGAATTAAAGACTACACACACCTATATTAGCCCCAAATCCAGCAACATACTTAGCAGGGAAAACAATTAGAAGCATTCCCACTAAAATCAGGACACAGATACTCTGATGCAACTTTTTACCACTCTAGAGTCTCTAGTCAATAGAAATACTAGCCGATGCAATTAGGCAAGAGAAAAGAAGTATAGAAATCAGAAAGATGAAACAAATTTTCAGATGCTATGATTATATGTCTGAAAAATCTAAAATGACAAATTACTAAATAAGAATTAAATATTGATATAAAATTAACATACAGTAACAATAATCTTTATCTGTACAAGCAACATAAGATATAGCAGAAGGTCCCAGTTTTGACAGCAACAAATGAGATAAAACAGCTAAGAACAAACTTTTAAAAGAGAGTGCTTTCTCATTCCTTGTACCACTGGAACTAGTAAGTACTTTACTCTTCATTACTACCTGAGACCATTCCCTTTTCTTCCTCCCTAAAAACACCCAGCTTTAATCCCATGTCATCAGACTACATCATCTACTACCGTTCATTGTTCTGAGACCCTGTTCCTTGAGGATTTTTGTTCCTGATCCAGTTACTGTCTTCAATAGCACCCTGTTAAATCCTGATGATTTCAATATGCTCAAAGATATTCCTTCCAAATACCCTGGCCTCTTAGTTCCCTAACTTCTCTACTGATTTTTTCCCTCTACCTTATGATTTATTGGCACAATTACTGATAGGTTTATCAAAGTACCAAACACTAAACCTTTCCATAATCTCAGTTTCAACTACTGTACTTTCCAACCACAACTTCCTATTTTTCTAGGTTCCCCCTTCTAGAACCCAACTCTAACATTCCTTTACCTCTACCAGGATCTAAATCCTTTGGTCCTGCCATCTTTTCCACTAGCACTCCCTCTTCTCTATAGCTTCACTTTACTTCTTGCCCAGCTTAAATTCTATAGTCAATCATTGTCATCATTCCCTTGCCCCTCTTTATGTTGTTCTACTTGTTCAGCTAAACAAACAACCCCAGTTAAATTCAACTTTTTAATTTATGCTCATATCCATGCAGCTGATCATAGATACAGAAACACATACACAACCATACTAATTAGTGTCACTATAAATTCATGCTCATCGATTTCAAATGGTCCCTTAATGCTATGTGGCAAACATAGCTAGTCCTCGCTTGGCTTCCAGAACACTCCTTGCTTTTTCTGCTCTCTGGCTACTCCTTCATTTCCTTTCCTGTCCTTTTTATCTCTCTCATTTCTCAATTTTAGAATATACCAGGACTCTTTCTTCTTGTTATATTTACTCCCTTGGTGATCTCATCTAATTTCATAGCTTTAAATATACCATCTATAATGCTGAATACTTCCAAAATTTATATGCCAGCTCACATCTCTCTGCTAAACACTTGATTCTCATTTAACTGTTTCAGCATCCCTTTCTGGGTGTTGAATGGATATCTCAAACAAGTTTAAAAGTAGGGCACTGATGTCCCCTTGCCCAAGCTTCAAAATCTTCCTCATCTCAGTAAATGACCACTCATTCTTCTAGGTACTAAGGCCAAAAATCTTATAAACATTCTTTATGTCACCTCCTCACATCCCATATCTGGAGCCACCAGTAAATGTTAGCTCCAACTACAAATCATATTCATATTCCAGCCACTTCTACCACCTCCATTACTATAACAATTTGTCTAAGCCAACATTCACTCTTGCCTGGATTAATATAGTGGCTTCATAACTAGTTTCCCTCTCTCTCTTGTCCCCCCACTCCAGTCCTGTATAAACACAGCAGCCAATGTAATTCTGTTAAAAACAAAAATCAGATGTCACTTTGCTTTCAAAACTTTCTCCAATGATTCCCATCCCAAAACTAAAGTCCTTAACATGAAATAAAAGATCTCTAGCTTCCTGCTCTGGCCTCCTCACTGTTGCTTGAATACACAGGCATTCTCCTACCTAAGGGCCTTTATGTTGGCTGTTCTTTCTGCTTGAAATGCTTTCTCTCCAAATATCTTCATGGTTCATTCTCTTATTTCTTATTTTTCTTATTCCCTTTCTTCTCTATCATGTTCTTAGTAAGGACTCCTTGCAAGCTACTCCTCCGTAACATCATTAAAATATCAAATTCATAAATTTAGTGTGATCAGAAAGAAAATACCAACAGGGTTTTGTTTTACAAGACAAACTGATTCCGAGGTTAATATAAAAAAATAAATTTAAATATGTAGGAAAACTCCGAAAAAGAACATCTGTGAAGTACTGACCTTACCAGGTATCAAAACCTCGATAATTAAACCAATACAGTACAAGTCTGTTAACTGACAAATGAATGGCACAAAACAGAAAGTTAGGAAGTAGACCTGAATACATATAAAAATTTAGTTTATCAGACAGGAATCATCTCAATCAGTGGGGACAAAACAAACTTTTCAAAACATGTTAGGACAATTCTATTATTTCATACAGAGACATCTTGTTTCAATAGTTTGCCACTTCCTTAAATTAAGGACTGCCACCGTTTTTATATCATTGATACCATACAGTGCTGGACCTAAAATACACTCTCAATAGTTACAAAATAGTTGTTTCAAGGTTAATTTAACTGTCAATTAGAACTTACCATCATATTTCCCATTTTTTTGTATACCTTTCTACAATAAATGCAATTAATAAACCTGAGTGTAAGAGGTAAATACTGTACCTTGTCATACTGACAGACAATTACATTATCCGTGTCAAAGAGGTCTGGCACATCCTGCTCACTAACATCATCTCCAGAATTTAAAGGGTCCTAAAGATGACAGATGACATTAAAGAATTTCACGGTGCTTTGGACTTTTTAAAAGACAGACATATAGAAATAAAAGAACTTGGAGAGGCATGATAGTATTATGCTTAAAAGCATAATGTTTAGGGCGAAACTCAGCTTTGAAGTTTAATAGCTGCATGACTGATCTCAGATAAGTTGTTAAAACACTCCATGTCTCAGTTTTCTCATATTTAAAATGAGAAGAGTAATAAAACTGATAAGGACACTGGGAAAATTAGACAAGATATGGTAGGTAAGCCTTATTAGCATACTATCTGGCACATATGTAAGGTCATCGTAAATGACTGCTAATACAACTTGCATGCTTTTTCAAACATTATTTATTTAAATGCATTTTATTGAAATATAATTTATGGATAGTAAAATATACAAAACTAAAATGACATGGGTCAAAGCAATCTTTTTTTTGTAGCATTCCCTCCCCTTCCCCCCACTCCTGGCAACCAACAAAGGACGTTTCCCTCCATATATAAACTTTTCCTTGACCTTCCACAACAATGAACCGATACTATATTTGTCCTTCTGTGATTGACTTATTTCACTCAGCATAATGTCCTCCAAGTTCATCCATATTATGCGGTGTTTTGCAGACTCTACATTATTCTTTAGTGCTGCATAGCATTCCATTATGTGTATGTACCATAGTTTGGTCATCTATTCTTCCACTATAAATCTTAAGAGATAATTCCCTTGTCAGATATGTAATCATTGGCAAATATGAATTTGTTGCTGTCATTTTTGTTATGTGCTTTCTTGTGCTGTCGATTTCTTTGTTCCATATAATTTTCTATGCTGAGCTCGTTTTATTTATGAATCATGTTATCACTTCCTTCATTGCTGTTGTTTTAGTATTTGCTGAATAGTTATGCTGGTCCTTTTTTGTTGTGAAGATTTATCATTTTTCTTTTAGGTTACCCTGTGATTTACAGTTTTCTTCCCAAGTTTAGAACACTCCGTTCTATCTTGTAGTTAATACAACTTACGTGCTTTTTAATTATCACATTCCATCCAGATTTTGCCACATTTATTAGGATTAGAACAGATACTGTATCTACCCTTCTTTAAGTTCTGCTTCCACCCCCTAAACATTCCACTATCTCTAGTTAAGACCACCAAATATGGAAGCTGAGTCCTAAATACCTAGTACTCTGGTAGCACAGTGCCTAAGGCACTTGACTGCTAACCAGAAGGCTACTGGTTCAAACCCACCAGCCACTCCTTGGAAGGAAGTTTGGGCAATCTACTTCCATAGTGACACCGCTTCGGAAACCCAAGGAGGGGTCGTCGCTATGAGTAGGGGCCAACTCGACAGCACATAACAACAACAGTTTTTATTACAGTTTAAAAGTTAAAATCCCAAGATACAAATATGTCTCATTTTAAAAGACTAAGGACAAGGTTCATCTTAATTGTTGTTCCTCTTGATACAAATGTCATAAATTTCAAAAAGAAATTTGCAGTGCAAACGTGATCCTCACCTCTTCTACAGTATCTCTTTGAGGTTCTTCATTATCACTGCTGTTAACAGTAGAATCATTTGATATACTGTCACCTTCTTCTTCAAGTAACTTCAGATCTTCCGCATCAATAATCCCTAGAAATTCATTCTCATCTATATCTCTTGTACTTCCTATTTCTTCATTGGAAGATGTATCTCCAGTTCCATCTATTTGGATTATTTCATTAAAATCACCATCAGTGGCTGGAATATTTAAATCCACCTGAGAATGAGAATCCTGAACAGAGAAGAAATTCAGTAAGATTCTTCCAATCACACAAGCTGTGAAATATAAAAAACCAAACTACTGAACACACAGAATTTAAAATTACTTTACCAAATATTCTACAAGTGGTCACTTACGATATATTTCTGCCCTATAAAGTGATGCTCTTTCCTCACTCTGAATTTCAGAACATCCCTAGCATTTCCATGTGCTATAGGAATAAAGTATAAAAAAAAAAACTAAACCCACTTACAATCATACAAAGAAAGTAAATTAGTCCACTGCTTTCAAATAACATTTCCCAGTTTTTTATATATCATCTTGAATTTATATAGTACTGGTTCACTTCTAAATATTTCTTTTGATATTAAATAACTCAGTGAAGTAGAAAAGACAAGTGACATGTTCAGTGAATAAATAAAATATGTAAAAGGAATTTAGTAATCACCTTAGGCCATGTAGATAGCTATTATCTTTATCATTATCTTCATGCAGTGCAGGTAACAAATGAGTATTTGCTGAGTATTTTACAGGCATTTTCTAATTTAAGCCTAAGAACAGCACTCTAAGAGATAAAAGGCATTGTGATTTACCCAAGTCATAAGCTACAAAGCAATAAAGCAGGATTCAAACTCAAGCTTGATTTCTGAGACGACATTCTTACCACATGCCATACTGTGTCCATAGTGCTTTTTCACAGACAGCATAAAAATCAACATGATTGTAACCTCCTTCAGAGCAGAGACTTTTTAAAAATGACTGTATATGCCACAGACTCTACAGCAAAAGTTCTTAACCTTTTTGAGTTCACAGACTCCTTGAAAATCTGATGAAAGCTCCCTACATTGACTGTTTTGGATGCACATGCTAGAATGACACACACACATCGTATATTCAATGATTATCTTTTGCTTCAAGTACGGGGTGCAGTGGTACAGATCAAACACGTGGAAAAATGGCTATTGAGTACTCAGAGAGCCTTCATCACAATAGCCTGAGAAGTCTTGGGAGCCTGGAAGGTAAAGAGGCTAAAGAAGGCCCCCAATAAAATTCAAGAAGCTTTACTAAGTTCTCTACAGAAGCCTTTTCTTTATATCCTCTCTGAGTTTGGGAGGTATAGATGACAATATAATATGACACATCTCAATCCATCAACCTAAGATACAACTTTAATATCTGAACATATCCAACTTTTTGTTTTTGAGTACATGACTGCCTTTCTAAGATTCATACTCAAAGCATATTCTTTACAATGAACTCTACAAAGAACACAAAATACCCAACAAGTAATCCTATATAGAAAATTTCAGATAAATAAAATACAAAAATGCTATTTTGCGTGAAACTAATTTTTACTACATTGGAAACAGATTTCCTTCACAGATGGATAAGAAAGCTCATACTTGCAAAAAAATTAATGGCTATGTCTTCAAAATTAGAAATAAATCAAACATGTAAAAATAAAATAAAAATTTTAACTCTGCTCAAAATAAATTATAGAGGAATCTCGGAGTTTCCACTGCTGCCTATGATGTAAAATGTTGGGGGGTTAAAAACAAAACAAAAAATCAACTCCAACAACGAGCAAGCTGGATAAATTACAAAAATCACAACTTTTTTTGGAATCCGTAAGAAAGGTGGAGTCTTCACTAAAGAATAATGTAGAGTCTGCAAAGCACCACATAATATGGATGAACTTGGAGGACATTATGCTGAGTGAGATAAGTCAATCACAGAAGAACAAATAGAGGATTAGTTCGTTGTTGTGGAGGGTCAAGGAAAGGTTTATACATGGAGGGAAACTTTCTTTGTTGGTTGCCAGGGGTGGGAGGGAAGGGGAGGAAACACTGCAAAAAAAAAAAAAAAAAACATTGACCCATGTCACTTTAGTTTTGTGTATTTCACTGTATATAAATTATATTTCAATAAAATGCATTAAAAAAAAAAAAAAGCTGGAGTCTTCTAATTGAATTCATATGGCATCATCTTCTTTTACTTAAATCAGTGAGATCCATATTTGTACCCATTCCAAAGAAAGGTGATCCCACACAATGTGGAAATGATCAAACAATATCATTAATATCACACACAAGTAAGATCTTACTGAAAATAATTAAAAAATGGTTGCAGCAGTATATTGACAGAAAACTTCCAGAGGTACAAGCTGGATTCAGAAGAGGATGTAGAACAAGGGATATCATAGCTGCTGTCAGATGGATCTTGGCTCAAGGCAGAGAATACCAGAAAGATGTTTACTTGTGCTTTATTGACTATGCAAAGGCATTTTGATTGTGTGGATTGTGACAAATTATGGATAACATTGAGAAGAATGGGAATTCCCGAACACTTGATTGTACTCATGAGGAACCTGTACTTTGACCAGGAGGCTGTTGTTCGAAAGAAACAAGGGGACACTTCATGGTTTAAAATCAGGAAGGGAGTGCATCAGGGTTGTAATCCTTTCCCCATACTTATTCAATCTATATGCTGAGCAAATAATCTGAGAAGCTGGACTCTATGAAGAAAAATATGGCATCAGGATTGGAGGAAGAATCATTAACACTGATGATATGCTGATAATACAACTTTGCTTGCTGAAAGTGAGGATGACTTGAGGCACTTACTGATGAAGACTGAGGAACACAGTCTGCAGTATGGATTACATCTCAATATAAAGAAGACAAAAATCCTCACAACTGGACCAATAAGCAGCATCACAATAAATGGAGAAAAGACTGAGGTTGTCAAAGAATTCACGTTGCTTGGTTCTACAACTGAGGCCAATGGAAGCATCAGTCAGGACATTAGACAACGTGTAGCACTGGGTAGGTCAGCTGCGAGGGACCTCTTTCAAATGCTGAGCAAGGATGTCTCCTTGAGGACTAAGGTGCACCTGACATAAGCTATATTTCCAATCGCCTCATATGCATGTGAGAGCTGGACAATGAATAAGGAAGACCAAAGAAGAGTTGATGCTTTTGAGTTGTGGTGCTGGTGAAGAATGCTGAAGGTACCATGGACTGCTAAAAGAACTAACAAATCTGTCCTGGAGGAAGTGCAGCTGAGATGCTCCTTGGAAGCGAGGATGGCCAGACTTCATCTCACCTACTTTGGTCATGTTGTCAGAGGGGACCATTCCCTGGAGAAGGATGTCATGTATGGTAAGGTGGAGGGTCAACAAAGGAGGGGAAGGCCTTCAATGAGATGGATTGACACAGTGGCTGTGGCAATGGGCTCAAGTATAGCAAAGATCATGGAGCTGGCGTGGGATCAGGCAGTGTTTCATTCTGCTGTGCATGGGGTCGCTGTGAGTCGGAAACGACTCAACGGCACCTAACAACAACAACAACAACATCGTTATGCTAGGGCAGAATATTACAAGCCCAAATTTTATATCAGTAACTGCAAAGTGCCTTGTCATTCTCAACTTCAGAGGCACTTCCACTGAGCACTGGAAAGCTCACATGATTATCTACTCTCCTCTTCCAAGATGATAATTTGACCTAAATAGCCAACAGTTTTTCAACAGCATCCATAATTGATCCTGCAAGACCTTGGACAGAAAGATTTAAATCTTTCACATGGCCAACATCTACTACATAGATCACCAGTGAACCCCTCCAGGTTAAATTCTTAGGAATGGGCTTTTATTCTCTCCCCAGAATAGAAATTTCCCCAAGGATCAATCAAGGGCTTCAAGCTTTGCTCTTTAGAAAGCCAGAAAAACTCTGCATGAAAAATTTCACATTTTGCCCACTTTTGACAAAAGTCTTGGAGAGCAATTCAAAATCTTGGCTCTACTGTATTTGAGTTTCATGGCAGCAGATGAGACTTTTTCTTTTTTAGAATTACTGGCTGTATCTAAGTACTAATTCATGCCAGTGTGCTGAAATAGATAGCAATGCTTTCTTTACCAAAGTATCAAAGCTATGTATTGCCAAGCATCTTGGAGCTCCAGCTCCCAAGAGCACCAAAATTTTGCTAAGCAAAGAAAGTTTTCATTATTTTAAAGATATCAGCCTTTCCAGTTTCCCCTCAAAAAAAAAAAAAAGAGGCTCATAACATAGGAATAATGTGATTTTGTCAATATGCAAATAACGATTAAAATCAGATGCTGGCTCCACTGAGTAGCTCTGGTATTTTCCATCCTGTTAAATGTTACAGAAAAGCCACATAGCTGCTGATTCTTCCACAAACTCCTGCCGAATGTGAAGAAATGTCAGTAGTTCTGGTGTAGATGACATCATCTGCCAGAGGCTTTGCTTAGATTTTCTTTCTCTGCTCTAAATCACAAAGCAGCTCAACGATTTCCAGGATTCTCCAGTTCACCAAGGTCTCTTCCATTGTATAGGGCTTCTTTTGTTAGGTGGCACAATAAACAAATGCATGGGACGCTTCAATAAACAAACGCATGGACTGCTTCAAGACAAGGCTTTGTTTGCCCAATCTAGCTTCCAACCATAATCATTACGCTTCGCTCTAATGAAAGAGCCATATTTTTCCATGGCTAAGGAAGTACTGACAGAACTTTGCATCCACATGCAGGTATAAATATAAAACAAGAGAAACCTAAGGTATAAAATACTTTCTTTTTTGACATTTTTCAAACAAAACTACGTCAAATTCAGTTGTCTACAATAATAAGTACCAGGACATATCTTCTTTAATTCTTAACCGGAAATTTATCTAGATAGCTACCATAACATGGTGACAATAATGATTATACATTACCTGACCATGTACAGTAGCATCCCATGCCACTCTATTTTTATTTGGCATGAAATATTCTTTAACATATTTGACACCCAGGAAAGTAAGATTGTTAAATTGGCTTTCTTCCTATAAAGAAAGGTATCACATACACAGTTTTAAAATAACTGATTTACAGATTTAACTTAGGGTTGATATATAGTGACTCCAGAAAATACTTGTTCGATTGAACCAAATTCTTAATTCAAAGATCTATTGATATAATATTTTATCTTTTAAAGGCATACCAGAATAGATTTAGA